TGTGCTTAACTTCAAACACACAAACAAAGTTTTAGCGTCATATAGTTTAGCTCGGGATTGATGAGTTTAAAATGCACCAGTTTAATTGCAAAGTTACAAATAATACACAGAAAGGTTAACTAAGATTAGAAAACAGATTATTATTTAATCAGCTTTTAGTGAAATTTTCGAGTAGACTTGTTAAATGCATGTTTCGAAGTATTTTTAATTTTTTTACTGCTGATGTTTATATCCCTATTTCAACCAGATGAATTCGTATATAAAGAGATCATGTATCAAAGATACCATTTTGAAGAAAAGAATACAATCATAAATAAAGTTCAAATAGTTTTATTATAATATTTATAAGAAACATGTTCTTAAACAGAATCAAATTTCAATATTTCGTTAACATTTTCCAGGTTAATTTGTTATTATAACTTAAAGAAGATTACTCCTTTTTGAGTGAGCGGTGAATCGGTTATATTTGGAACATCTGTGTTTCATTTTTAAAGAATGAAAATCATTTATGAAAAAAAAGTTGGTAAAACACTTGTGCTGACTTGTCGTGAAATCTAATGTTGGAGTATTTGTGTTCCTATTTTGTATTTATGGCAAAGCTACTAAATCCACCTGCTTCCGTCCCCAGTTTTGAAATATTGACCAAAGGGAAGACAGCCAGTTAGCAGAACCATACCACCCATCATCCACGCTAAGAGATTGATTGAATCCATAGATTAAAGTGTGAGGAAAATATTTCTGTTATGATATTTGAGTAAATATTTAGAAACATGTAATTAAACACATTTTAACATATGTTTTTTTTTTGTTTTTTTTTTCAGAGATATTTTCTTTCTGCGACTTTCAAATGACAAGAAGGATGACAAGAATGATGGGTAGGTAGCAGCGGATGTTAGAACTTACACGATTGTTAGTCAGTAGTAACCTAATATTTTCAAGTAAATATCACTGTTCAAAGAAGTTGAAATTCAATAATTTATTTTTTTAAAGTTTGTTAAGAAAAGTTGCCAACCAATCGCAATTCCATAACATTGTTCTAGTAGCTTACGTTATTTAAAAAAACCTTTAAGCCTTATTTTAACATTTTCTTTGATGCTTTTATCCAGGAAATTCAGCTTAGACATTGGGGTGTTACCTGGTTTAAAGAAAAAAGAAGAAGAAAAACATGATGAGAAAGATAATGAAAATGATAGCTAGAAAACCTGAAGAGCAATGAAAAGAGTGAAGATGGTGAAGATTGACCTATCTTAACTCTGATATACTGACCTAAAGAAAGCAATATATTTTGTCTTTTCTACTTACTCAAATAATTAAAGTTTCCATTATAATGAAAGGGAACTGATTTCACCAATCTAGGAAGTATTGTTCATACTTTATTGTAAAAGGATGACCTCTATAACATTAAACTAAAATTATCTAAAACTCTGCATTGTGAGCACACAATTGTAATCAGAATAACTCACAACTCTCTAGAACCAGTCTTTCGTACGAAACGTTTCAAATTGTGACAATCAAGGCTTAGAATTTGCGTTGCATATTAACTCATCATTACAAACCGTCAGGTTATTTACTTATTATTGTAATAATATCGCTTAGTTTTCACTTTAACCTTATGGGAGCTGAGGATTTTCTGTTTGTCATAAAGCACAAAACTACACAATGGGCTATCTGTGCTCTGTCTACCGCGAGTATCGATACTCCACATTTTAGCGTTATAAACCCACTAAGCAACCAGGATACGGGGGCTAGGAATTTTCTAGGAGGTAAAAAATGCATAAAAGTTAATAATGAAATTTGCAAGAAAATGTTGTGTTTATACAGAGGAATAGAAGTTATTCAAGGAAGTTTCAATAAGACATGCAGAAGATAGTCAAGGGAGTCTCAGTAAGACATGGATAAAATATTTCAGTGAAGTACGGTAAGATGTGCAGAAGATAATCAAGGGAATCTCAGTAAGACATGGAGAAGATATTTAAGGGAAGTACGGTAACACATGCAGAAGATAGTCAAGGGAGTCTCAGTAAGACATGGAGAAAACATTTCAGTGAAGTACGGTAAGATGTGCAGAAGATAATCAAGAGAATCTCAGTAAGACATGGATAAAATATTTAAGAGAAGTACGGTAAGATGTGCAGAAGATAATCAAGGGAATCTCAGTAAGACATGGAGAAAATATTTAAGGGAAGTACGGTAACACATGCAGAAGATAATCAAGGGAATCTCAGTAAGACATGGAGAATATATTCAAGAGAATTTCAGTAAGACAAAGAGAAGATATTCAAGGGAACGTCAATAAGATATGGCCATAATGAGCTAAACACAGGAAAAGTGAGGTACAAATGAGTAAATTATTAGATCATGAAAAATACTTGCTGCTAAGTGTCTAGATTATAGTCTGAAATGTAATTGTTATTTTCTTTTTATTTTATCATTTCTAATGTAGTAAGATTTTTTTTCAGACGAATTTATGATCGCATGCGCAGTGCAAGGAAGAAGTAAAAGGGGTGATTTTAATATTTTTAGAAATAGGTGTTTTTACCATCAAGATAAAAAAATAAATACAAATTGATGATAATTGGGCAAAACATTTGTGTAATTAAATGTGCTTCCTTATAGAATCATAGAATAACCTGGAATAATTCTAATATAATTAGTTTGGTTTATTTTGAATTTCGCGCAAGGGTTATCTGCGCTAGCCGTCTCTAATTTAGCAGTGAATAACTAGAAGGAAGACAGCTAGTCATCACCACCCACTGCCAACTTTTGGGTTACTCTCTTAACAACGCCCACACGGCTGAGACGGCGAGCATGTTTGGTGGGACTTAACCACCGGCTTTGCCGGGCCTAATATAATTGGACATTATTCAAATGTAAATATAATTAAACATAAATAGGAAAATAGATTGAGAAGACTATTTACTAAGATATTTTGATTGAATACAATAATTGTTGTTTTTTTAATACTTTAAGAAAAACAAAATACAAAGACATTCTTATAAGTGAGTAATAACTGTAGATCCACAGAGTGGACAGTAATTTAACAAAAGTGCTTCATTTACGTAAAATTTTAAGTACCCTTTTAACGGTTTAAGTCTGTTTTACATTCTCAAGCAAGTACATTTTTGCAACTGTTTCTTTATCGGTTGATCTGTCTGTTTGTTTGTAATTAAGCACAAAACTACACAATGGGCTATCTGTGCTATTAAATACCCTTTTAACGGTTTAAGTCTGTTTTACATCTTCAAGCAAGTACATTTTTGCAAATGTTTCTTTATTGGTTGATCTGGTCTGTTTGTTTGTAATTAAGCACAAAACTACACAATGGGCTATCTGTGCTCTACCCACCACGGGTATCGAAA